GAAGAGCGTTGAGCTGGTTCACCCGTCTCCCGGCCAACTCGATCGACTCTTTCAACACCTTAGCATCCCAATTCACCATCCAGTTCGCCACCAGCCGGCCTCACCAACTAACCTCCCTCGCGTTGGTAAGCATAAGACAAGAGAAGAAGGAATCCCTTCGGACCTTCATGAGCCGATTCAACAAAACGGCACTGGAGATCCGAGACCTAAATCCAGCCGTCACCCTTCACCAACTGACTACAGCTCTGAAGCCAGGACCGTTTGCTAACAGCATATGCAAAAAAAACCCCTTCTGACATGGATGATCTGAGACGCCGCACTGATAATTACATGCAGATTGAAGAACTTGCGGAGTTTCGCAACCAAGCCAGGGCAGAGGTAACAGTAAAGATAGAGAAGCTGGCCGAAAGCTCCTATCGTGGCCGCCCCAAAGATCTCGTCTCCCAAGAAAAACCTGTCTGTGGGCCGAGATACTCTCATTACACTCCATTGAACACTAGTCAATCGGTTGTCTTGGACCAGGCACTCGCCTCGGAGGTCCTGACCATGCCGAAGCGAGCCTCGACCCCTCCGCGCGCTGACACAACCAAGTCTTACAACTACCACCGAAACTGGGGCCACTCGACCGAGGAGTGCGCAACCTTAAAATACAAGATTGAGGACTTGATCAAACAAGGGCAACTCCAACGCTTTGTCGATCGCCCTCAGTCTCCCCGACACGACGACCGTCAACATCGCCGGGATCAACCTGACCGAGAAAGGTTCGACAGGCGTCCCTACAAAGAGGAGACGACAAACCAGCCCCAAAGGGTTATCAATACCATTGCTGGCGGATTCGCAGGGGGAGGTTCCACCTCCTCGGCATAAAAGAGACACTTGCGAGCCGTCCGAGCCGTGCACGCGGTTGAACGTACTCAGCGAAGGATGCCATCCATCACATTCACCGAAGCTGACTTTCAAGGCATTGATCCAGATCAGGATGACCCCATGGTCATTAGTGTCGAGATACACAATTGCATCGTTCGGAAGACGTTGGTCGACCAGGGGAGCTCGGCCGACATCCTATACTGGAACACGTTCAAACAACTCGACATCCTGGAGGCCGAGTTGATTCCGTATAACGAGCCCCTGGTCGGGTTCTCTGGTGAGCGCGTTCAAACCAAGGGATACATCAAGCTATCCACACGCTTTTGTTTCGAAAGAGCCGAAGCCAGGGACATTTCGATCAAATACGTCATGGTGCACGCCAACACGTCCTACAACATCCTCCTCGGCAGACCTTCCCTCAACAAACTAGGTGCGATTGTGTCGACTCCTCACTTAGCCATGAAATTCCCGTCGGATTCAGGCCAAATCATCACAATCCATGCCGATCAAAAAGCGGCTAGGGAGTGTTATTTCGCCAGTCTTCGGCTGCCTCGTCTCGAAACGGCCGAGCCTCGCGGAGTAAAACGTGTACACACGGTAGTGCAAGAACTTGACACAATTGTGGACTTTGACCCTCGAATGGAGCAGGATGAGAGGGTCGAGTCGATTGAAGACCGACACTCGTTCGTTATCGGGCCGACCGACCTACACGTGACCTACCTGGGCTCTAACCTGTCCGAGATGGAAAAGCAAGAAATCGGACAAGTCATCAGAAAAAACAAAGACCTGTTCGCGTGACGGTCGGTCGATATGCCAGGTATCGACCCCAATTTCCTATGTCACAAACTCTCAGTATGCCGAGAGGCAAAACCGGTTGCCCAGCGAAAAAGAAAAATGGCAGAAGAAAGGAAAAAGGCAGTTGAAGCAGAGGTATCCAAGCTCTTGGAAGCGGGTTTCATTCGAGAAATCCAGTACACAACATGGTTGGCCAATGTTGTTATGGTCAGGAAGGCGAACAGGAAGTGGCGAATGTGCACTGACTACACATACTTGAACAAAGCCTGTCCCAAGGATGCCTATCCGTTGCCGATCATAGACCGATTGGTTGATGGCGCGACCGGCCATAAGTTCTTAACATTTCTCAATGTATACTCAGGATACAATCAAATTCGAATGCATTCCCGAGACGAGGACAAAACGGCATTCGTCACGGTATCTGCCAATTACTGCTACCAAGTAATGCCTTTCGGCCTGAAGAATGTCGGGGCCACATATCAACGGCTTATGGACAAGATCTTCGGTGATCAGATTGGGAAGAACATAGAGGTTTATGTAGACGATATGTTGGTCAAATTGGTCGACACACTTTCCCATGTAGCCGACCTGGCCGAAGTTTTCCATGCACTTCGGAGGCACCAGATGAGACTTAATCCTGAAAAATGTGTATTGGGTGTCTCGAGCGGCAAGTTCCAGGGTTTCATGCTATCAAGCCAGGGCATCGAGGCTAATCCGGAAAAATGTCAAGTTATTATCGACATGAGAAGCCCATCAAACTTGAAAGAGGTTCAAAAGTTGGCTGGCCGACTCACAGCGTTGTCTCGTTTCCTACCATGTATGGTCGAGGCTTCCAGGCCGATCCTTGGTCTTCTGAAAAAGGCAAATCGATTTCAATGGACAGATAAGTGTGAAGCATCCTTTCAACTCTTCAAGAAACGGGTCGGCACCCTACCGGTTCTGAACAAGCCAACTCCCGACTGAGAAGTAATACTGTACTTGGCGGTCTCGGGCGAAGCCATAAGCGCTGGCATGATACAAGAACAAGACGGCCAGCAGCAACCCATATACTTCATCAGCCGGGTGCTGCAAGATGCCGAGCGCCGATATCAACTGTTGGAAAAGGTAGCGTTGGGACTTATATACGCGGCTAGGCGCCTTCGGCAGTACTTCCAGAGTCACACAGTGGTGGTCCGAACCGACTGCCCGATTGCCAGAGTGCTGCAAAAATCGGAATTGGCCGGTCGAATGATGGCATGGTCAATCGAGCTATCTGAGTTCGACATTCATTTTGAACCTCG